AGTAGCCTTGGTGATTTACGCTTGTCTGTTTCATGGACTTTCTGAGGGGTGGGGAAGGATGGCACCAATCGAAGGTCTCTGTTTAAAGCTGCCAAATATATGAGGGAAGGGCTCAGGCCCAGTCACATACCTTAACGCGGGACGGTTGGGAGGGGGCGAACATAGTAATTTCACACGTTGCTTGCAATTAATCAAATCAGTGGATCAGCCAAGTTGTTTCCAACATTACATAGATCTTCCAGCTGCAAAAGCAAGATATTGCCAAATACCGTATTGCTTCCAATGGGAATTGTAATTGAACAACATGTGGGCACATGTCAACGCCAAGATTGAGGGCCACAGTCTCTCTGCTGCAAAAGACTCCCCTAATTACGTGAAAACACGTTGTTTTCAGTAGAGTTTGGAAGGCGAACACAAAGCTCCGTGCTCAACAGACATGACTTCAACAAAACATATTGGACGCAGCAGAAGGGTCAAATAAACCAGGTTGTGCGCGGAAAACAATGTAGCGCGCACACACACACACACACGCACGCACACACGCGATCGCCAACATACACGCAACATACACGGGCGTTCAGTCTGCTATACAAGCTTGGCCGGCAAGCTTGGCCGGAGTCTCGGAGCCCCCAAAACCTGATGTGTATTTTGAGACTCAGCTGGCAACAGCTGCATTAAACACATAAAGACAAGCAAAAGCGCAGAGGCCTGGAAAGAGGTCTGAACCGAGTCTGAACTTAGCCTGAACCGTGACAAATAGGGTGGCAGGCTTTATCGTGCCATCTCCTGTGCTTCTGTTTGAATGCACAGCGAAGGTCCCAAAGCGGAGGCTGCGAATGGCACATCTTGAGGTCAGATGGAGCCCCATCCAGAGAGGGAAACACTGAGGCAGAAGCACGGCAATTGGCCAGATGGAGCCCCATCCAGAGTCTCAGACAAACCTCAGATTTCTGAACTCCACCGTAGGATTAATAATTTTGCGAGACTCATGGTGAGGGATTCATTCTCACGGCATGACCTTAGAGCCTTTTCTGAATTCTACGCAAACGTGGGAAGATAACAAAAACCGCCATGAAACCACGCGGCACAACAGCTGTCTCGTTTCGCGGGGCCTCGCTTCTTGCACCTGTTCGTCCCGGCTGGTCCCGGTCCCGGCTGGTGGCTGTGGCCCGCGCTGGGTCCCGGTGTGGTCCGCAACGCTGAATTGGCACATCCAGCGGACTGCAGGCGCCTAGAGGCAAAGACTGGGCACGGTAGTTGCCAGGTGGCTGTGGCTCAAAAAAACGGTATCAAAATGGAAGCCTGGTAAGTGGAAACATGGAAACCTGCGGTTTGCCCCTCCTGGTTAATTTGAGCCACACCCAGGTGAGGGCACAAGATATCGAGAAAACGAGCCCCAAATCAAAAACATCGGGGTTGTCTGTGTGTTGGGTGATATGCCTTTGTCCACAGAACTGTGGTCGAGTTGAGGTCTCCCACAGCGTTGCATGGAGAGTGGAAGCACACTCATATTTGCGCTGCGATTAATTAAGCGATTGGGCCAACAATCATTCCTGGACTGAGCATCAAAAAGAAAACACCTTCGCAAGATCGGTTCCTCGCAACTTCAAATGTTGGAGGAAACCTATGATCACAAATGCACATGTGGTGTGAGAATAACGTGTGCGCAAACTTATGCAAAATCAACATCCCTCTTGCTTTCTCCTAAAATGAACATGCTTGAAAAAAAACAACGACAAGAGTACCCAATACAGGGAATTTAAAGGGACCATCACAATTGTCGGCAACCATATCCTAAGATATCCGTATTGCCTTCAACCAAAAAACTGTTGGCGAATGCTCTTGGCCGAACGGTCGCAAAGTTCAGGGCCTTCCATACAGACCTTGCATCAATTGAACAATGTTGGCATAGCGCTTGTCAGCCTACAGGAGAGGACAAAGCAGAGTGGGCCGCATGCTGCCCTGCCGAGTTTTGATTTCGAGTGACTTTGCTCCAAAACCTGCAGGGCAGGTTGAGCCTCAGAAATTACACGAAACAACCCCAAAATAACATCATAAGCCAAATTCCAATTCGACGCTCACCAATATCCCCTGCCCACAGTCTCCGTGAAACATGCTTGGCCAGCTAGATCCCCAAGGGTCTGGCCCCACCAACTCACCACTTTCGAACAATTTGGGGTTCGGGGGCCTGGAAAGAAAGGCAGCGGTCGTAGGAATGGATGCTTCGGGAAAACCATGGCTGTTGATGCCTCCGCAGGTCCAAGCCTTGTTGCTGAAGATGTAAAGCCTGAAAAAATCCACCCAGACCTCCCCCGGCTAGTCAAAGGATTCTCATGCAACAACCTTTTATCTTGAAACCTTCTACCCAAGGTGTAGTTGGCCCGCAAGTTGCCGGCTATAGAACATCCCCCCTCCCGCGCGCTAGCGCCCGCCTCACTCTGATGCCCCGCGGCGCAAACCCAGCCGCACTCACCGGGCTCCAACTGGGTTCAGCGAGCGGAACGGAATCGCAGGGCCAGTGGTTGTCGTGGAGGCGCAGCAGATTTAGAGGAAACTCCCTTGGATGATGCCCTCGTAAGATCCAGCTGATTTGCAAGGCAGTATCCCGCCGGATAACGGCTGTGCCCCGGAACAAAACACACACATAAAATGGCTGGTTGGTTCAATTCAGCTTCCTCCTGTGCTGTTTTCATTTGGGCGCTGCTTTGTTGGCTTTATTTAGGTTTTGTGTTTTTCTGATATCCTGGTTGAGTACGTGTCTTCCCATTTGGTTGTAAGCAATTGGCGGCTCAAACCGGCCCAAACCACCTTACAAAAGCCTATCTTGTGACAGATGTCTTGATAGGTCTTCAAGACATGGACCAGGTCGCAACGTAAGAATCCATTGCGATGTCTCAGAACAGTTTTATGGCACGCTAGACCGTTTGCACATTGTCGCAAAGGCTGGTACAGCCTCCGCTGCCCGCGACCTGACGAAATTATCCTCATTCAAGAAAAGGACAACGGACAGTTTATCAAGCCTCCGCAGACTTCGTGTCACCTTCTATTTCCTTGCCAAGAGAAGACCGTCCCCCAACGTAGTGCCTCCCGCCCCCAAGAAGCCATGTGGGCGTTGCAATGCCATCAGAATTCCTCCCAAGCCAACCTTTCCCTCGAGCAATTACCATGTTGGAAGGTGCACCAGTCACCGCAACAAAACTTCCTTTGGGCACCAAAACCAATCCTCGCGGTCCCTATGCTACCCTTCCTCCCACTAACATAGCATTTGTGGGAGGGTACCGGGAAGATCAACTTCCTCTTAGGTGCCCACCTCTGTAAATTCAACGGGCGCGTTGCTGGCCTTCTTGTTGCAGCTCCGGGTCTCTCCCTTGCCTCTGTCATCCGGCACCTGCGACCACCAAGCACTCAGTTTTCTTTGGGGAAGCATGCGCGTCAAAAATCGGCACACAGATGCCCAGAACGCGCAGAAAACAACGTGACACCACCCTTGGAGAAAGAATCTACTTGAAGAAACCTGCTCGCAACAAAAGAACGAAGCGTGAAATAGAAAGGTTAGCGACACAACTCCAGATATCGACGCGAAACGTGAAGTATAGCAATGTGAACGCGTCGGAAATCAGGGCCCCTTACTTGCTTCCTTCGAGGGTTGTCGCTTGGGATGCTCCGAGGAAGAAGCTTTGTTGCGCGCACTTATATTTGCATGCTAGCACGATCGCGCTTGTTCAGACACTGACAAGTCTTCTGAGAACGCTTCGCGCCTTCGATTTCTATCGCGTTCAAACCCAACTTCACCAATTTCGTGGGCCTACAAGTGAGGAATACAATCGAACACTTCTGATTAGGAATACATCATAAACACTAAGCTCGAACATTGTCACACCCAGCCGCGCCATGTTTTCAGGCGCTCCAACCACTGACCGGCCCCCTGTTTTTATGCGAGCAAGCTCAGCTCTCGTCAGCCCAGCCTCTGCACAGCAGGCAAAGTAGAAGGGCTTCTGGCGATAAGCTTGCGGCTGTGACTGGTGCCGTGCTTCCGTGGCGTTGCTCTCCGCTCAACCCTCACAACGGACCCGTGCGCAGCAAACACACCACGTGTCGCATGTGCATGGAATGTGATAGGCTTCGAATGCTGACAAATTACAATGAGGACTTGTATTGAATCTATGAATGCTTTGTGTCCGAAATGCCCGAAACGCGGTCTCTTTTGATTGCATCCCTGGGTGTTGATGCCTTTTGACCTGCAATGGAGAGTCATGTTCACACGTGTCATAAACATGTGTGGGTCGTCGACAAGAGGCGCGCACGTGCGAATTGATCCCGCCTTGTCGTGATACAGCTGCGTCACCGTCACAGGCCTTAGGAAATGTATGGAGTGTAAAAGAGACGCAATGCAGATTCGTTTCGCTCGGTAGTTCAAAGCACCTGGCATGACATCTTGGCCTTTAGGGCCATGGATGGGGCAAACTTAGCCGAGTGGGTCAACCATGGCAAGCGGCCAACATTGTAGATAAGCCAAGTCTGCTGAGCGTCTTCTGGGAAGTTTTGAGAAAGATTTGACCAGAGACTGACCAGCACCGAACCACTGGTGCAAAAACTCATTTTGACATATTGCCCAAACAAATGCCGGAACTCCAAATTCGAACACCTTCAGTGAGTCCTTTTCATGTTCTTTTTCCGCATTGAGGGAACGCCAGCTGAGGGTCCAAAGATCAAATGTTGCGCTGTTACCCTGAACAGCAGAGTTGTGATCCTTTCGCGGCACTGCAGTCAGGTCCGATCTAACCGCCAAGTTACTATCTGGCGTTTTCGATCTGGGTGTCAAGGAGCTGACGATTGGAGAACCCAGAAGCATATCACCAACTTGAAAGAGGGAATAGAACCACCATTGTTTCATCCCATTTCGGCAAACCCATTACATTCCACATTGGATAAACCAAGCTGTTGCAGGTGGCTCCACTCAAGGAACCCCTGCCCCCCGCCAAAAAAACCGCCGCCCCGGCGCTACCGTGTGGAAGTGCTGCTGTGACGCGGCTCCTCCTGGCAGCAAGCTGAGTTTCTAGCTACGAGCGGTCAGTTGGCGTCCTAGATGCACCCTAGGCCTAGCAAGTATGATCATGCTCAATGAATTAGGCAATACATCAGGTCTAAAGCAACAAATTTCCCGCTGACCCCAACTGACTAGGAAAAGATCCTATTTGCAAGTTCACTCACGCCTTGACAAACAAACCGGCAGGGCTGCAGAGCGGATTTCAGAGATTTGTTGCGTTGTTGCGGCGACAGGCTAGAACTTGCCTGCCTACCAAAACAAGCAACAATGCATGAGCGGACCAGTCAATTGATTGGAACCTGACTGAAACCAGCGGAGGCCGTCTATGTACTGTATAACTACATTAACCCAAACCGGACACTATGGCATTTACCATAAGCAACAAATCAGCTTGCCTCTCAGTGGTGATTTGGATTGGTGGCTTGGAGGTGTTCCGGGGGTGGTTTCCCAAGCCACCCTCTACAAGAACCAGGGGTTCACATCCAAATCCAGACCACAAATCCAAAACCACGAAGTGGGGGTGACCTGAACATGATTCAGGAACAAAACCAACTGCTGGAGATTTACATTGGACGGAGCTAAGGGGCTTTCTAAGCATTCCGTACCTTAAATGTCTTGACCCTATCAGTAAGTCAATTAATTGCCTGGCCCATGTGGCCAGAGCTTTCCAACCACAAAAGGGGTTCAGCCTTATTCTCATACTTCCTGCTACAAAAAGACAAGCGCAAAGTTTCAACAGGCTTGATTGCCTGTGGAAGCGGTACAATAAATGAATGATTTTGGTGTTTAGATCCCAAAATCCAGCAAAATCCTGGGGTGTCCATTTTTGGTTTCCCCTTTTTTCGCCGCCAAACGGAGGCACCAACTCCAAAGAAAGGACACACCCAGAATCACCCCAACTCGATTGGCGCCTGAGTCGGCTGCATGCGCGCCAGGCGCCTCAGGGCATCCCCGATTTCAGTTGATTTCAGTAGGGTTGATCAAAAAAGGTCCCTGATAATGTTGACCCCATATTCTGTGTCAAACCCCCCTACCCCCAGTGACCCCACTAAAATAGACTAAAGTGGAGGTGCACCTACCCCAAAATGGTAGCATTGGTTTTGATCCACAGCCATATTAATCAACCCCTGTTTATTAATAGGGGCCTGGGTTTAGTGGGGAATCATCACTATTGGGGTTGATGAACATGGGGTCAACATTACATGGGATGACCATTGGTTGACAAACCACAAAACAAATGCGATATGTTAATCACATGGCACAAGTTACCTATGGTCATTTGGGGGCCAGGAATATTGATCAACCCCCGGGTAGCCCCTTCCCAGTAAAAGCAAACAGGGGGATGAGACAGATAAGATTGCTCAGGATTTTTGAGCGGCTTCTTTTGATGAGTGATCAGTGGACCTGGATCCACTGAGCGTCTCTTGCACGCTTTTTTTCGGCGTGGGACCAGTATGGGAGGTGTCAGCTATTTTCTTTGATTATGGTCGGAATCAACCCACGTCTCTCGAAAGGATTCAGTCCTCCCTCTTGGTGGCTTCAACAACAAAAACACATTGAAGGGCGCCAACGTATTAAAGCGGAAAGCACAGTCACAGTAACTTGATGCGAACAAAACACAAACAAGTTGCAGAAACATGGTTGGAGTAAATTGTTTTCCTCGCAACATTTGACCGTCCCTCGGCATAGTGGTTCAATGCCACATGCACTCGCGCTCGCACTTGCCAGCCACATGCGCACGCACCCGAACCTGCACACGCACCCACCCATCCACCAACCACGCACGCAAACGGCCCAGGCGAAAGCAGATCAAGAAGCTTGTGATGCCAGAAGCAAATGTCAATCGATCCCGCTGTCAGTAAAGAAAGATACGAAAGGCTCGCATGGCAACAATTGAGACAGACACCACTCCACTCGTCTTTAATAGGCCCCCAGAGTGCGCCCCTATCCTGACCAGGATAGCCCAGCCTTTAAACTGGCTCCCAGCCTTTAAACTTGGAAAGCACCCAACGCCAACATAAACTACACTACCTCAGCTTTGGCCCGCCCAAAACAAACAATGTGTGATAATGCTTGATTCTGGTCTACACTCATTGAACCTTATCATGCAAAACCGTTTCAAAGATATTCCAGTACAGTTCAAGCCGCGCGCCTCAAGCGTCATTGCCTCTTCCTTGACCTCTTCGATCGTCTTCAATGCCGCGCTCTGACCTCAGCGCCACTGAAATGGCACGACATCCGTATCGGCCGCCAAACTGCAGCAAACCTTCCCCCTGGCCTGAGCGTGTAGCCAAGCTGGCAGCGAAAGACAGGCAGTACATGAAATATGTGCAATGCTGTTGGTTGCCTGGTTGGTTGGCCAATTGCCTCAAAGCTCTCAAAACAAAACACTGAAGCCGTTATCTCTCTCACACACACACACGTTTGGGCAGAAACCCAGAAACGCGCGCGTTCAGAGCACATGTGAACTTCCACTGGTTTGCCTCAGCTCAAGCCTCCCTCGGCGCAGTCGCCGACACACAAGAACATCCCCAAACATGGGAACATGTGGCTGAACAACACCCAGAACTGCCTGATCACTGGTCTGCGATTCTTCTGTTTGAGTCTCTTGATACCCCAAATTGTGGGAATGTACCTTTTCTTCACCTGCGATGGTCCAAATTCCGGTTGGTGAACAAACGCGGAGCGCTTCGAGCTGGGCTCGCTGCGCTCTCCAGAGATATTCCTGCACTCGCAGATCTCCGACCGGATGCAGGGAACCCGGGACTTTCTTCATCTCCGACCGGATAACTAAAAAAAAGCCTGGATTCATCGGGGGATGTCGCCTTTGGTGGGGATTCAGGCCACTATTGGAGGGCAGCATTCCACATTCCCCTATGAATAGAGACCCCTGATCGATCAATTTTGGCCACCTATCCAGTTCGCCGCTCAAAACCAAAACAGAGAATACGACCCTCCAAGCGAACATTCTTCTACCACTGTTTGAGTTCTTTGCGGCTTCCTTTCTTTAAGTCCCAGGCACATGCACAAAATGAAGCTTAGTCGCCACTGCCCGGCTCTTGCCGAAGCCGGGAGCCTAGATCTCATTGAAAGCTGTGACCGCTTTAAACGATTGGCCGCATCTCTGTTGGACACTTTGACGTGTCTCAGTTCAGTCGTGGCACTTCAGTGTCTGCCCAAAGCCCGGCATCCAGATCCGCAACGCAAGAGCGCCACAAGGGAAGCATCGCCATCCTAATGAAACTCCGACTTTTGAGTAACGACGAATACTATTTGCTCCTGGTTCGATTCACGATCCTCCCATTTGCTTGCAGGGCAAACAGGGACAATTGGATGGTCCTCCCATGCCCCCACAAAATGAATTGTGGATCGCTCATATTGTCATCTGCTTAATGGCACAAGCCGGCAAGACTTGAGCGATGGTCAACCTCCTGAAAGCCTCCAAAACTGATCGCTTTCTGAAGCCCAACATCTGTAGGGGAACCCCATCTGATTCGCGGGCTTGCGAATGTAGCTCAGACCTCCAGTGGGAGAAAAGGCTAAAGTACCCCATCTTCCGTCCTCGCCAAAACTTCTGTTTGCTTATGTCCCCTGAAAAAACATATTTCCAGTAGTGATAGCTTCCATTTAAAATCAATGGGGGTACTCCTAAGACAATGGAAGAAGAAGGGAAGCAGCCTTCTGGAGACCTGTCACCGACGCGCCTCGCTGCCTGCTGTGCCGCCTGCCCATTCTGGCTGTACCACCTGAAGTGGTGTCGTATTCGTGGACGTTTTGCTGGGTCTTTGTCGACGGATGCTGGGAGTGTTGAAGCGAAACAGACTGAAGGATTGCCTGGAAAATGGAACACCCCCGGGCGAACATTGCGAGTGCTGGACACTGGCTCATGTTGGTCTGCCTTAAGGGGGTCAAGCATAAGGGCTCTGGTGATAACCCTCGTTTGTGCGAAGAATGACCAAAATAATAAGGATCTCCTCCGTGTTGCTCAACAGGACAGCAACTTGTGCATTGCCTCTATGCGTTTGAATCGGTGAAAGCCTGAAGCAGTCAGAAAAGGCGAAGGCTGAAGCCTTGCTTTTCGCTGATGCGTCAGGTCCTCAGGCACACAGTTGGCAATAAACACACCTCCATGTTGTTTTGTTTTATCCCTTGTAGGATGTGTCCCATGTCCATATCCAGGTGTATTTGCCCTCCCTCTCTCTCTCTTGTTGCTGCTGGTGGTGGCAGCAGTGGAAGTACAACGCAACCGCAGCACTCGAGCAGTTCCTCGTCTTCATAGAACGAACATGTGAACCATACAAGTGCCACGCAAAGGGCCTCCCGCAAATCTTAAACCAAAAAGTCCTCTTGGCAAACACAGCAAAGCCATGGTTGGAAGTTTTGACTCGGTATGGCTTGCTCCAATACAGTAACGGTTTGACCAATGGAAAAGGAGGTGGCTGGCGCTACCAAAATCACTCTCAAGCTGGCAGTAAGCCCAGCCGAGCTTCCCGAAGTCTGAGCCGAAGACTCCTTGAGCTCGTCAGCCCTGGGATGAAAGCTGGCCTGGCACAACGCACCGGAGATATCGGGGGATCCCCTGCTTGAATGGGGAGGGGGTCCCCAATTCCATGTTCCTAGTCTTCCTACAAACGGGAACATGGAAGTACAAATGGAATTCCAGGGGTCACCCCCCTCCCCCACTTCCAGTTTTCAAGGGGTGGGGATATCAGGGGAAAAAGGCCTGTGCAACAGGCTCCACACAACCTAGGACCCCACACGATGTCTGGCTGCCGATGAAAGCAAGTCAAGGGCTAGTTAGAAGAAAAACATGATCGGGGACGAAGGGAATCCTGGAATTCTTCCCTGCTTCGCGTCGCTTGAGTGGGTGCAAGCAAGGACCTGCAACTTCAAGGAGTCAGACATGTGCCCGTTTTTGTCTAATGCCGCGTAGGGCACTGAACCATTGGCCTTGACGCATTGCACAGCGTTGGCCAAAGCACCATCTTTCCCAGGCCGGTTCACAACCAAAGAGACAGCTAAAAGAAGCCGGCCTTCCAACACTTCCAACGCCAGCTCCTCGCTGAACAATTCGGCGCAAACCCCCGAGTCGATATGCGCGGATCCTCGTCATCGAGGATGACGGCCGTTGACTGCGAGGTGTTCAAGCCTCAGCACAAGCTGCCCCCCCGCCTCCCGTGGAGCCCGTTTTATCTGCCGAAAAAGCGGACACCAATAAACCGTATCAAACTCCACCGATCTGACATGAGGGATCCCAGAAAAGGGAGGGGAAACCTGATCTTGGACCGGGTTGTGCACTCCCCCTTCCGCATTGGAGGAGTGGCTTGCCTAGGCTTGACAAGAACCATGGATGCAATCTGGCAAGCCATCAATCCACTCGCCACTCGAGGCCCGTGGCTGAATTCATCTCTGCTTTTAATCAGACAGGCCTTGTGTTCGTTGTGTGTTCATCGCTCAGAATCCACACTGGGTACCCTCATGGTTGAAGACCCGACCCCCGGGATCAATCCACGACAGCTTGAAGGATCATCCAAATGTCTCACCCCTCGGATCCGCCATCGACATGCTGGAAATGACTGATCGAGAAGGACCCACTGGCTGCATGCAGAAAGGTCAATATGGAAGAACTTACAAAATGAGGTACTTGTATCAACAAACAAGAAGGCAATGAGGCAAGGGCACAGGGAAATATCCAGCTCTTTGCAAGAGACGGGCCAAGCACTTAAAGCGACCCCAGATTGGCGCAAAGAAACCCCGACTCTGCCACCAAGGCACTGCGACCCCCGTAGTCCGAGATGCGCACGCCCTTGAAAAGTGCCACCTGAGGCTTTGCGATGCGACTCCGAGATGCAAATTCTCGGTTCAGCTGGCAGTTCCGTTTTTTTGTTTGTCCTTTTTTTTTCTTTTTCTTCTTTTCTCTCCTCCCCGTGGCTCGCAGTTCGGTTTACCCCGTGGCCGATGTGCAACCAACCATTCAAGTGACATGCCGCACACTGGGAGATGTTGGTATTATTTCTTCAAACCCTCACCACAGATCGATCCACCAGTTTTGGGTGGCAATGCGAGCCAAGGGCTGTAAGCCCTGACCCACTGTGGCTCCATATGCCCCGTACCACCTCAAGGACCCATTTTTTGCGCTTCGCTTTGTGCAAGGAGTAGACCCAAGCTACTCAAATTTTGGTGGCCTGGGCTTCGATCATTGGCCAGGATGGCTCGGAGATTTGGATGAAGCTCTTGCTCTTGCAACGCTTTGGACAATGCAGGTTTTTTTGTCCAAGGAGTGGTCGTCATGGTTCACTTGAAACACATGGGGCTTGATCAAAAGGTCCGTGATACATGGGCAAAAACAAACACAATCTGTCCCACTACATGGGTAAAAGTTTCTAGAATGGTCATTCGAGGGCGGAAGGGAACATAAATCAACCCCCCAAATGCTGATGGTAACTCTTTGCGGTGTGACTAAGCTCTGAGAAGATGCGAGCCCCTGAAATCGTGTGGGGAAGGCCCCTTTCGGTTGACTGAGTGCAGCTCCCCCATGCGTTCTATGGAAATAGAGCAAACTAATGAGATTTCAACTATCGCAGTGAACTAAGATGATCACCCAATTGATTAAAGCCAGGAACCCTAAAAAGGCGATTTCCCTGGCCAAGTCTCAAACTCTTGAAGTCTCCGAAATTGGCTCCGTCCAACTCAGTGAGTTGGCCCCCCCACTTGGATCACGTCTGTACATCTGAACTTAGTTATTGTTCAACCCCCAAGCTTGGGAAAACATCTGTGCACTATCATACGTAACAAAAACGTTACCAGCTATTCACCCTTTGATCTGAGCTCGACCTGGGACCCTTCAAAGGCTGAAGGCCCGCGCCACGCCGGGATCCAGATTTGGCCTCCCAGTGCCAGATGCGAGCATTCGGCTTAGCTCGCGCCTCTGGACAGTTGCCCTTTTCATGATGTTGACCCCATATTCATCAACCCTAGTTTATTAATACGGGGGGTGGGAAGTGTTTCCCGTGAAAAGTGGTCTGATTCCCACTAAACCCAGGGACACCCCCTATTAATACACTGGGGTTGATTAATATGGGGCCAACATGACCAAAGTGGGGTTCCCAGCTTAACGCTTCCGCGTGGCATCGCAAGTGGAATCCCCCAACCTGATTACTTCCCACACGGCCGGGGGCAGATTTAAGTGCAATCCCTGAAAACGGTCTTGTGGGGATGGCACGAAAACCCAACGTTACATGATGGAAAAGGCCCCCGTCGCAGCTGCTCTTCTTTTTCGGGGCCCTTGCTTGATCTGACGTCTGCATCCTTCCAGCACAAATATATCAGGCCCTTCAACTGCAATGCACTGAACACCCGCGCCCTGGGCTGTACTAAACAAATCGACCTCGGCGGGAGGCCGAAACAATTCATTGCCGGTGGACCCAGTTTGCCAAGTGAACCCTTGTTGATCAGGCTGGACACATACGGATGTGTCTTGAATAGGGGACCCCCCAAAGATGGTTAGGCTCCTTCTGGCGTTCCTAAAAAGTCACTCGGACAAAGGTACCCTAAAAAATCATCAAACACACATGTATATATATATACATTATGTATATGTATATATATATATATATATATACTGGATGTCTGCAATGATTTGTCCATTCGGGTTGCAACATCCACGCTCAATTCTGAACGATACATGCCAAGACTGGGGTTTGCTGGACCCCCTTAATCTTAAGAAGCAAACATAAACGAGAGCTTCAGCGCGGAAACCAATTCCCACCACTCCAAATTGCGAAACGACCACCTACGAGGTGTTTAGACTCTAGACCTCACCCGCTTTGCTTGCTTGGAGCGTCTGTGGGAAAAACACACTTCTGCTTCGTCCGTGCGCGCAAGAAGGCTGAATTTCCATCCCCAACCAGCAAAAGTGTATCCCGGTGTAACACGGCAAGTGGATTTCAAGAACAACAAAGGCGACTGCACATGCCTGTGGCTCAAAATTAAACAGGAGAGGCAAACCGCAGGTTTTGATCCACGTTTCCAACCAGGGCAAGCCATTTTGGTACCGGTTTTTTGAGCCACAGCCACATGTCGTCTCAACCCTGTGGACGCCAGACTCGTTGCTCCAGCCCTGGATCAAGGACTTTCTTCGAGGCCCCAGCTTGCAATGCTCACCCCAAAGAGTCAAACGCACCGACCTGGGCAGCTAGACAGACCCGAAGACAACCTGTCTAAAACACGCTGGGAACGGTAGGATCTTCCAATCAATGGTCATGTTGTCCGATTTGTGGGCTGGAAACAGATAGGAAAAGGATGAAACATAAACACATACTCCCAGAAACATCGCCATGTCCTGGAGAAACATGTTGGCTCATGATATTTTGACATGAGGCAAAACAGCGCACCCTGATTGCGGGTGTGACGCCGAGGCATGTCACTTGGACTTCGGGTATCAAACCGATGCAACCGACCCGGCCAAGCAAGCGCCAGAAAAAAGAAAAAGAAAAAAGAAGTAGTTGACAGCAAACAAATCAAGTTCACGCAGTTTACCCAACGGTCAAATAAGTGGCACGCTCCCAAAGCTAATGGAGACATCATCTTCTATGCCGGTGTCAAAGGCTGGGTCCTCGAGGCTCCTTGAGTCTCCCGAAAAGGGACCTGCTAACTCTCCAACGGCAGGCAAAAACAGGACATGCCCAACATGCACAGGACTAAAACGAGGCTGCCACTGTTGGCAAACAACTTGAGGCAACTCTTTAAACCACATCCAAAGCAGCGGCAAATTGCAACTGGTCAGCACAAGCGTAATACACGCAGTTCACCTTGGCAATTCCAGCTGGATGAAATCACACGTGTAGTACACAAAATGAAATGCACTTTGGCAGCTCCAGCTCGAACATCGCAACAATTTGGGCACACCTGCGCTGCTCAAGTCTTAGGCAGCTCTAGCTGCAGACGCGGGAGAGCCTACAAAGGAAGGACGCGCCCAACAGGCCCCGGATTGGATCTTGGACGTGACGCGAAGCCTACGCAAAGCAGACGAGACATGCGCATACTTACTGGACACGCAGGGCTTTGCAAGCCGTCAGGCCATCCCCACAACACGTTTCATCATGCACACCTTCATAAAAGCACATTGCACGTGACATGTCAACCTACCAAATCGTCGCCTACGCGGCTGCCTACGCAAGGAATCACACCACCAGGCTCCGCGAAATGCCTCACGCCTACGTGGTTGTGGCCCTGTGAGTCATATGCCTACGCAACATGTAAAACATGTCGCCACAAAGATGTGGGCTGTTAATCCCTGCAAGAAACGCTGCCCAGCCGATTTTATGGATCCCACGCTTTCCACTGGCTGGACTGCACTTTGCCCTCAGATCCAGGCACTCCGCTGTCGTCCAATAGCACCAGGTTCTGCCGCGCCTTCTGCCCTCCATCCTGGTCTCTGATGCAGGGCTTGCAAAGCGTCAGAGCACTTGTCATTCCAAATTGACAGGATTCACCCCCTCTTCATGTCGCCTTGTTTTTGGTAAGCGGGGAGAGGGGGGGGGAAGGGGTTGGGGGAGGGTCGGAATCCTATTTATTCCAAATATCACAAATTACTGGTTGCAAAGTTTGTGTAGCCGGGGCTGGCTCCTGCTGCAGTAAGTGTCAAGCTATGATTGCCCAACTGGATCAACGGGAGATGGCGGCGTCTCAAGGTTATTCTGGCATGAACAGAACATAAGGCCAAGACAACAAGTCCTCGGCAAGTGCTGTCGCGCCAAGACACTGATTGCCAATCATACGCACATTCTGTCATTCATCTGTGGTCCATTGTCTAGACGCGCTACGACCGCTCCAACTTCTGTGCCCGGTGTTCCTCTGCCGCCATGACAAGCAAACAACCTCGAACGGCGTGACCAGCTCACTCTGGCTTGATCAAAACAGAAACAAATGTGTCCACAATGACAGGATTCTATGGCCCAACAAGTTTCCTGCTTCGAATGTCACCACAGGTGGATTGGGATTCCATGGGGCCAGCGTGCGGTGCGCCTTCTTGAGCGTGATCTCTGAAGGTGGCTCTGCCTAGCAAAAGAGCCAGCCGGGTTGGTTTCAGACCAGAGCGTAAGGGTAGAAAGTTGGTGTCGGTGAAGAAAGGAAAGAGAGGTCACTGGATTTCCCCTTCAAAAGTTGCAGTTTGCTGGTGTCCATTGAATCTACCACTTTTGGAGCTTCCAAAAAAAGGAAATGGAGGAACTTCTGAAAAAAAACCAAGGGAAACCACAAACAAAAGTCTAGCCGGGGGGTTGGTCATCCTTTAAGTAGAGGACCAAAGAATCGTTCGTAACACCTGTTGGAGCGCCCTGTTCCTTTGGGGCCCTGTGGATTTCTTTACTTCCCCCCCGCCCATCAACATGAAACCCAAGAGAGGGTCCCTTCAAAAGGATCATAGTTTTCCAGGGACCCCCTGTCAGGTTCCATGGTGGAAGGATATATTGATATATACATGCGAATACCTCTGCCTTGGCTCCAGAAAGCTTGCCTGCGTTATCCGCCATATATGCCATATCTCAAGAAATGCGGGGGGGGCCCATGGATGACATGCTGCACACGAGGAACTCTAAAGGGGTCTATCCAAATACATTCACAGGTCGCGGACATGTGGGTATGTCTCGAAATAGGGGGAGCCTAAAACAGGATTTCGGTTTTCATGTTGGTCTCCAATTGAACCAACCTTAAACAGAGTACCCCCCCCCAAAAAAAAAATAAAAATAAAATATAATAAAATAAAATATCTTAAATAGTCATACAACAAAAGCACAAACACACAGACATAGACACACACACACAGACACAGACACGGACACACAAACACACACACACACACACAGGTTCTAGGACGCTGCGGCTACGCCCATGTGGGAGATCTGTGGCGCTCGCCTCGCCATTCCGACTGCGAGAATGGGAGGGCGGGGTTGCAACATTTCCTCCAGGCGCAAGGAGCCAAGTAGATGGTTTGCCCATTTATTTTACATGCTGTGGTTAGATCTTCTAGGAGCTGGATCCAGATTTTGTCCATCCCTCCAGCTGCTTGCACAGCATCCTTCTTCCTAGCTTGACTTGGGTCATGTCCTGAACGTCTGCATCCAGAATTGGTCTGCAACGCCCTAGACGGTGTCTCGTAGGCCTTCCATACTTTCCAAGTCACTCTGGGTAAGTTACTGCCTGAAATAAGGGACCACATGGGACCCAAGGACCTTGAGCATGTTGTTTTTCTCAGGTAAGGTCGTAGGCAGTCATACCGTTGGACGAAACTGGCCTCAATCACGATAGCCGCCACATCCACAGCGCTTTGGACCGCCTGGCAGCATGAAAGCGACAGGAATCGAAACAAGGGTGGATGTTTGATGGGGTCGATGGACTTTTACTGCGAGAAACCGGGGCGGCTGCATAATTACACACATGGTTCAGCCATGATGAGGCAATTTGGTTTTAAAGTGATGCCAAATTCAATTCCCGAAAAAAGTCCATGAAACGGCACACTCCGCACAGATCGGTCGAGTTCAGGACTGCCAGCTCTTGCCAAGTATCTGGATTTGTGTGGGACAGGCGTTGTTTTGGGCTCAGAGCCTGAAACAAGCTTCTGAGGACATTGCACCGGGAACTCTGCGGAAACAATTTCAGCCCGATGGGTACCATGCATGAATGGGAGATTGCAGTTGCTGTCTGATGAGCACCAAAGCGTCGACTTGTTTGACGCACACTCGCGCAGCCTCAGCTTTCAATCAACCACAAGAACACAAACAACTTGACAGCATTCAATTCGGCGAACGCCAGTGGGTCGCAACCAATGTATTCTGCAACATGGACTAAGGTGGTTCTATCAGAAGGGCCCAACATTATTCTCAATTCAACAGGGGTGTCTCAAGAAATTTGTCTCCGAAATGGACAAGGTGCTTGAGGGGAAGTGGAGCCATCCAGCCAAAGTCTTTCGCGTGGAACCCGTGGGGAAACAAAAGCCGAAGCACAGAGTACCTGTCTTGCATCCTAGCCATGACCAAAACATCCCTGAGGAGCCGCCAAAGCGTTGAAATCCAAAGGCAGCAAGTCGATGAACGTTGAACTTGGTTGCTGCGACCCGGGTTGAATGGCAAAAAGTGATTCAGACTTTTGTCAGTTGTTAATGGAAAACCTCTTGATTTCAACCAACAAGTCGAAACCCAATGGCAATCAAGTGAAGAAGCTGCTACTCTTGGTGTCCGACGATCGGGGCTCGCCCAGCTTCGTTGAAAAGAGCATGTCATTTCGGGGAAAAACAGTTCCACCAGATTCTTGAACATTTTTGTTTTGTTGCTTTTGCATTGCGGCACCCAGTGTTTTTTTGTCGCATGATTTATCACACCTATCCCACTGCAGGCAAACACGTCCAGCGGAATGTACTCCCCGAATCAGAGGGAACTCACACGGGGCCAGTCAGTG